CTTTCCCCATGTTCAGCACTGATAAGGCCACTTCTGGAGTACTGTATTGGGTTTCGGGCCCCCCCACTACAGAAAGGATGTAGACAAATTGGGCAGAGTCCAGCACAGGGGAATGAAAATAGTTAGAGGGCTGGGGCACATAACTTCTAAGGAGAGGCTGAGGGAACTGTGCATATTTAATCTGGAGAAAAGAAGACCTTGTCCTGCTTTGAGCAGTGGGTTGGATTAGATGACCTCCTTTTAAAGGGATGAGGTCCCTTTTAACCCTAATTTTCTTTTATTCTAAGACTGAGTGGAGATTTAATAGCAGCCTTCAACTATCTGAATTGTGGTTACAAAGAAGATGGGGTTAGACCAGAGGCGGGCAATTATTTTGGGCGGAGGGCCGCTTACTGAGTTTTGGCAAGCCATTGAGGGGCACATGACAGGCAGCCAGGGGCAGATAAATATTAATTTTCTAATTTTTTTAAGGGCCTCACGGGCCAGTTAGAATGGCCCAAAGGGCCGCATCCAGCCTGCGGACCACGTTTTGCCCACCCCTGAGTTAGACTGTTCTCAGTGGTGGCATGTGACAGAACAAGAAACAATGGTCTTAAGTTGCATCAAGGGAAGTTGAGGTTAGATATTAAGAAAAACTTTCACCTGGATGGTAGTAAAACACTGGAACAGGTTACCCAGAGAGGTTATAGAGTCTTCATCCTTGAAGATTTTTAAGACCTAGCTAGACAAAACCCTCGGCTGGGATGATCTAGTTGGCAATGGTCCTTCTTTGAGCAGTGGGTTGACCTCAGTGACCTCCTGAGGTCCCTTCAAACCTTAATTTTCTATGATTCTGTGAAAATAAGAAATTGCAGATAGAAAAGTACTGCCCACTTCTGAATACATTTAGGTCTATTTGAGTTGTCTGTGATCCCAGTAGGAATATCGTAAGCAGTAACACTCTCAACCCCTAAAACAGACAGAAGAGGGGTTTCATAGTTTCTAGGGTCGGAAGGGACCTGAGAAG